TTCATTTTGTTTGATTCTTGTAAAGGCGTAACGTTTGTATGTTATATTCTTTCCTGGACTGAAATATTGATCCAGTTTATCACTCATTGCCTTGTATTGATCGGTGTAAGTTCCTTTAAGTGTTTTACATATTTCTTTTACATCCTTCCCTGCTAGATGAAAAAGTAACGCCTTTTTTTTTGCGCGTCTTGCGTGACTCCAGTTGCAACTAGATATAACTCAAAATCTTTTTTCCATGTTTACCCCGTTTGTCTAAATTAGTTGTGTTGTTTTAATTTATAATAAACTGTTTTACTCCAGGTAAATTATTAATTATTTTCGCCATAGTTTGATCTTTGTCGCCAACTGTTGTGTTCCGTTTTAAATATATATCTACTAACTCTTATTTTATTTGTATTAAAGATTTATTATAATAACATACATATTTACAACTAGCATTATATAAACAACCATAACTCATTACAATAACTTTCTAACGCACGAGTTCTGATGCGTTCCACATGAACGCACTCTTACCAATCATAATGTTATGTATTTCGTTACTAACCAGGGCCTTTGAGAAGGAGGGGCAAAAGGGGCAAATTGACCCGGGCGCTAAGCTTGTAGAGGGGCCCGACAATACGTTTTTTTTTATATACCCTTATAGGTAGAATAAATAGAAAATATTTAAATGACTGACAATCTGAAATCTGCTTAGTCTTTGCATTTGAGATTGAAACTTTAGTATTTGGAATAAAATTGCACATGAAAAAAATGATTTAAATTTTAAATTCTATTTTTAAAATTACTAATAAACAAATATTTACGAAAAAAATAGGAATTAGCTGTTGTAAAATTAGACAGACGCCGACGTGCTCCGTAAGCCCATGAACATTTAGCAATGCTAGCTCATGTTTAATTGTAAGGAAGATTATGTGTTGTGGTAATAATAACGGTAACTCATCAAATTTTGCTATGGAGGAGTTGACACAGATAGAACTGAAAATTTCAATAGGTAGTACGTTCCATGGGTTCGCTTCAACTTCTTTAACTATACGGTTGTTGAAGAAGTTGAAGCGAACGAGACAGTTGTGGTCAATTTCACAATAAAAGCGATGTTTTTTTTAAGTAGCATTTGACTGTTTGGTCAAAAAAGAGAATCATAGCATTTCATTTTTCAGACAAATAAGCGGCCTTGACTCTACCAAGACCCGGCCAGTTATCAAATATTTGAGTTTTTGCATCTTGGCTGCACTCAATATGGGTAGTTTACTGCACTCAATATGTTATTCGAAGGACTGTGGATCAGTGAGGGCTTAAACAATTTCCCTCAAGCTGAGCTTAATGAATTTCAAAGTGAATCATTAAAGTCAGAAAAAGTAACTTTATCTAACAGTGGAGAATGGAAGGTTCAACTTAACTTGGTAATAATTAATGCTAACCCTTCTTTGTGGGCAGTTGTTTTGAGTCAAAAAGATCAAAATGCAATTGTTTTAAAGAGATCTCCAGCACAAAAGCAGTATTCAAAAGCGGCTAATTGTCTCTTTTTCGTTGAAACTGAGGAGCTAGAGATCAACGGAGAAAACTCATAAGTCGCGTAAAGCAGCATCAATGTAGCCCATTGCACTAATGGTTCTACAATGGTTGGAAAGAGGCCTACATTCGTCTTACCAGCTCCACTGGTAAATATTTAGAGCTTCATAAGTGAATAAATTCTGAGACAGCTAAATGGCTGACAACTCTTCGTGAAATTTTGAATGTGACTGTTTTCCTGGTTTCTAAGGAATTTAACTTTAGGGAATTTACTTTAGGTGTTTTTATTGACTTGACGAAAGCTTTAGATACTATTGATCACGCAATTCTTTTAATAAAAGTTGGAGTGGTACGGAATTAATGGAAATATATTAATTTGGCTAAAAAGTTACTTAAATAATTGAAAACAATTTGTTTATGCTGATGATAACATATCATCTAGTTTGTTAAATATTTCATGTGGAATTCCTCAAGGAACCATATTAGGACCTCTCCTATTTCTAATATATATTAATGATCTACCAAAAGCTTCTAACTTAATGACAGTTATGTTTGCTGATGATTTTAACTTATTTCTTTCTCATTATGACATTTTTACACTTTTTAGCAACATAAATATTGAACTAGTCAAAATTTGCAATTATTTGTTGGTTGTTGATAAAAAAATTATTATATGTTTAAATTTAGTGATTATTTTAATTGTTTTACTTTTTAAGTTTAAGAACTCTTCTATTGTAATTTTGTATGTTTATTTTTATTCTAATTTATAGTATTATATTACGAAATTTATGTCGTCAGAAGGGGAAAACAGTAATTTATATATTTTTGAAAATTATGGACATTATTGTTCGCATGAGTCAGCTGTTCGGAAGACACAGTAGTTTGATTGATGCAAGCCGTAAATACCATAAGAAAAGGAAAAAATCATTAAAAAAAAAATCTTCTAATTTCTTCAATAGAGGTTTCTCTGTGACAAGAAGCTTTTTTAGGTAGCTCATTATAAAGTTTTCTCAATATCAATTTTAATTTTTATAATAATTATCACAATAATTTGTAACATCCCACTTGGAAAATGTGTATAATAGTTATAACTAATTTATTGGAATAATTATATAAATAATTAAAATTGATATTGAGAAAAACTTATAATGACAACATTAACAAGAAAGCTCCACAATGAGTGCCCATTATTTCTTTCTGTCGTCTCAAAACAAGTTCACCAAAGAATATGGTGTTATCCAAAGTGCAGCTATCAAAGAAATTCAGGATGATATCTACTTCACAACCATAGTTGATGGTACCCCTAGTATATCTCATACTGAGTGGATAACCTTTGTCATTCATTTTCTCCTCCATGAAAGAGAAATTACTTGCTGGAAAATTAAAAAACGATGTTTTGAAACTTTTTAGACAAAAAATGGATTTGATATAGCTATGCTTATCACTAATGTGATTTTAAGGCTATGTATGAATATTCAAAAATGTCGTGGTCAGGGACACGATAAAGGATCCAGTTGGTCAGGTGCTTACAAGGGAGATCAGGGCTTGATAAGGCTAAATTGTTCAGAAGCTCTGTACGTTACCTGTAGCGCTCACAGTCTGATTTTGGCTGGTATGCTCGCAGTTGAATCAGCCATTGAGATCAAAGTATTCTTCAAAAATGTTGAATCTTGGAGCGTATTTTTTAGTCCAAGTCTAATCTAAAGCAACTGGAATTTCACTGCATAGACTTTCTCTGACAAGATGGACATCTCATACTAACTTGATCAAACCACTTGCCAAGAAGCCGAGAAAAATGTTGGCAGCTTTTAAACATATCATGAAAAATCTGGATCTGACCAGTGAGCAGCTCAGCCAAACAAGAGATTTAAAAAAATGATTATCATCTTTTGAATTTGTATTGCTCGATACGATTCGGTACAAAACTCTTACTAATGTTAACGATGTTTGTCTTAAACGGGTAAGGGCTCTCGGTTGCAAGTTTTCTAAGAGGCTGCATTTGTAGTTGACCGCTAGTATTAGAAATCGAACTCGCTCCTAAAAGAAAGCGTAAGCTAAAGCGCTTTCATGATGAGGCATCAAACACACTCCATTTCCATGAAAGCCAAACAAAAGAATTTAAAGTGAACATTTTCAATGTTGGTTTAGATTATCTTATCCAGCAGATTGATTCAAGATTTGAAACAAGCAGGGTGGTAGGCAGTATTTTTATTCTTCAGATTGAATAGAAATAGTCTTTCCGTTTAAAATAAAGCATGAGAACTCGCACGATTTTATCCGAGAGATGTAAGCAAAAAGAAGAAGTTCGCCGTTTTACCAATGCCCGCAAAACAATTTTCAAGCAAACAATCTAATGCAGTTTCTTAATTTAATCTTTTAGAAGAAGCTTGAACGCCTTTTTTCATATATTTGCATCATGCCTCGAATTTTCAACACCATTTTTAAGTCAGTTGCTGAGAGTGAACGATTGTTTTGTAAACTAAAAGTAAAAAAATCTCCGTTTGACCATGTGTCAGGATCACGCTACTGGTATTTGATTATTTTGATTAAAGAAGATTCGACTAAAAAGGTGAGTTACAAGAACGTCATTAAAATTTGGGACGCCAAAAAAGCTCAAAAAATCATTTTAAAGCAATTTTTTACCTTTCTTAAAAGTTTTGTTGATTAATTTTTTAATAGTTTTAAAACTAATATTTTGATTCATATATCAGTTTTGATTAATGAATCGCTTCTCAATCCAGAGAAGTAATAGTAACGCAAAAATACAATGTGCTGTATCAGAAATAAATAAATTGCTGCGATCACAAAATTTTTAAAATTTTAGAATTTTAATTTCTTGGTTTGAATTAAGGGCGCCGCTCTTCATTTTTGACCCGGGCGCCATTGGCTCTCTCGAAGGCCCTGTTACTAACTCTCAACGTTTGACATAAGTATAAACATATAAATGTTTGGAGTTTGCTCCATGTCTAGAAGTTAGCTATCTCGAAGACCAAAAAATGCAATTGGTTGATACTGTAACTCAAAAATGTAATCTAGGCTTAATGCGTTTAAATAACTATTTAAAAAGATATACGCGCTATATACCCGAAACATTGTTTTCAAGTATTACTATTGTCATCTGCTTTAACGGTATGTTGATATGATCTAAAAAATCATTGGTACAATTTGATCCGATTGTCTTATTTAAGCCAATAAAATTTTTGCCAATATTTTGGTACATTGGTACATTGGTACATTGGTACATTGGTACATTGGAATATAATACATTGGTACATTTTGGTACATTGGTACATTGGAATGTACCAATGTACCAAAATAATTAAACAAGACAATAGGATCAAATTGTACCAATGCATTGGTACAATTTGATCCAATTGTCTTGTTTAAGCCAATAAGATTTTTGCCAATAAGCTAATTCTTTATTTACAAAATTAAACCAGTTAGAAACTAACTCAAGATTCTTTATTTACAAAATTAAATTAATGTGATCGCGGAGAATTCGCCATTTCTGATTACTTATATTTTTCTGGCTACCACTTGTCCCAAAATATCTGGCAACCCTGATTCTAACTCTGACCTTTAGGGTTTGGCTTAGGATATGGTTTTCAATAAAATTGACTTTGGTTTTGGGTTTAGGGTAAGAGTATGATTTTCAATAAATGTTTTGCATTAAACGTGATTCGTTTTTTACGGACTTACTAAAGGGGTACCTGAATTCAGGTATAATACTAAAAAAGTATAGTTGGTATAATTCATCTTCCACTGTTTATAGCTCTTGCTCTGTTCCCACAATATATTGGTCGATGATAGTGATACTGATAATTGATGCAAGTGATTAGTTAGATACAAGTGAATAAGTAGGAATAATTATAAAATGAAGAATTAATGTATGGCTTGCAATTATACCGTTTTTCTCTTTCTTAAGTCTTTTATAATGCTATGATTTAATGTAGAATAATTTAATCTAAAATGAAATATACTATTTTAAAAGATTTAATTCATCAAGACTCAATAATTCATAAAATATTCATTCTATATAAATTTTATGAATTATTGAGTGTATATTTTGTTAATGATTGTAAGATAGCATTAAGATTATTTTGAAGGTTTTGTGACTGTTTATAATAATAATTAAAAAAAATGACTTTAAAAAAAAAGGTATATGTGTGTGTATGTAGATATATGTGAATGTATGTGTGTGGGTGCGTGTGTGTGTGTGTGTGTATTGTTATTAATTTAATTATTTTTAATAATATTAATTTTATTATTAATATGATTTTTGTTATTATTATTAACCTTATAGTTTTTAGAGTTGTTATTATTTATTATTACAACTTTTGTTGTTGTTGTTATAATTAGGTGTTTACACTTCATTAGTAATTATTTTATTTGTAAACATCCTTGAATTGTAAGATCACATAATTCAGAATATATATTGATATATTGATACACACTTTGTGTGGACAATTTGATTTCCTTATTTGCTTACAAAATAACAGGATGAGTAGTATGAATAGAAATATTTATACAAGTATCATACATATACAGCTTATCATATCTGTTTATATGTTTTTGATAATACTAAAGATTTCAAAAATATTTTGCAATACTAAGAGACAGAAAAATAATATATTTTACTTAGAGCTTATACTGTTAAAATTGTAAAATGGCTTAAAAATTATGTCAAAAATCTAATGAGTTTATATACTATTAGAAGGAAAAAGCCTTTTTTTTAGAATGTTTAGCTAGAATAATTTTTTCTTTTTGACAAATTCACCAAAAATTGATTTTTTTATTTTTAAGTGAGAATACAGTTATTTTTAAGTAAGAATACAGAGACAATAATGCACTCTCTAATGTTACTAAATCCCAATATCTATTACTGCCCCTGCAAAGTTAGTAATTTAATTTAACTTTACCATGTTTAATCACTATGATTTAATGTAGAGCACATAATTATTTTGATGATATGGATGAAGTTTTTCATATAAATACTTGCCCGGATGCTTCAGAAGCCATTAAAAACTGTGAAAATGTTAATAGTGTTCATCTCAGTTGCTCCAATGAAAATACAGGTATAGTATAGGTACTTGTTAAGTTCAAATTTTTAAATGATTAATGAATTTAACTTTTTAATGAATAATGATATTTAAGGTGATCAGGGCCTTTTTTGAGTCTTTAATTAACAAACACTTATTCTCACTTTAATCATCTTTCAAACACTTATTCTCACATCTTGAATCCAACAACTTACTTTCTCATCATCAATATGGTTTTTTAATCTTCTCATTCTACTGCTGATTTTTTAAGAGTAGTAATTGTTTTAGGATAAGAAGCCAATTGGTAAGCCAACACTCTCTGATTGCTTGGAGTGGGCATTTAACCTTCTTTCCTTGATTTATGTCTTGCCTCTGACCCTAGCTTATGTTCAGTTTCTCCCTTTTCTTTCTTAGGTGGTTCTGACTATGCAACGATCTCTATAAATCTTTTATCTTGTACTTCTTTTGTGGATGCTCTCATTGCACTACTTACTGCTGCCCTAAAGCTGAATGCGATTCTTTTCATGATTTTCTTTGTAATGGTCCTTGTGCTGATGTCTTTTTTCTCTCAGCTAGTAAATGTGCTTCTCTCATAACATTATGGGTTCAGGCAGGAATCAAAGTTTCAATTCATTTTTATTTCCATTCTACACCATGGTTTTCCCCTTCTTGTGCCGTAGCAGTATATCTAATCATAATCATTTTTTTCAAAAAAAAAAACTCTCTTCAGAACAAAATGCTATTTGTTATTGCAAGAAATTGATGTAAAAAGGTGCTCTCTGATACTAAGATCTAATAATCTCAGTTCCCTAAATCTTGTATCTTATCTCAAAAAGGCTCTAAAGACTTTTGGAAAATCTTCTACAGAGTTGTTAGCAAGGGTAGGTCTAACATTCCAAATCTCATTCATGGGACTGATCTTATTACCTCTCCCAAGGATAAGGCTGAACTACTTGCAAAAAACTTTTCTTCTAATTCAACTCCTGAATCTTATGGCCATTCTCTTCCTTCCATTCCAATTCGTATATCAATTCCATCTCAATCCGTATATTATTTTCCTTCCATTCCAATTCATATATCAATTCCATTTTAAATCCGTATATCAAATCCATTGCAAAATTAGCATCTGCTAAGGTTGCATCTCTTTATCATGCTTGATAAAGAGATGCAATACTTTCTTACATCGGATTCTTTTCTTTATCTCTATAAATCTCAAATCTGCCCTTGTATGGAATACTGTTGCCATATCTGGGGCGGATCTCTAATGATGCATTTTTACTTTTAGACTAGGTGCAAAAATGCATTGTAAACATAGTTGGACCGGCTCTTGCAGCCAATCTCCAACCATTATCACATCGTTGTAATGTTGCTTCTCTTTCTCTTTTCTACAAATATTATAACAGACACTCCTCTAAAGAGCTAGCGTCTCCTTTGCTATCTACTAAAATTCATTCTTGTGTTACTTGTCATTCAATTAAGTCTCATCTTTTTTCTGAGTTTCCGAAAACTCTTATTCATATAGTTTTTTTCCTCGAACATCAGTTCTTTGAAATTCACTTTCTTCATCTTGCTTTCTTGATTCATATAATTTGCAATCTTTGAAGTCGTCTGTCAATCATTATCTTGCTCTGCAAACTTCATCTTTTCTTTTCCAGTAACATTTAATTCTAATAGTGGTTGCTTGCTGCTTTGCTGAAAGCAAAGATGTTAAAAAAAACATTAAACAGGTTAACCCATTGTTAGACATTTATATCACTCCAGCGTCTGTTGCTAAAGTTATATCTCATTAAACTCTACTACGGCTTATGGTCCAGACAACATTCTTGTCAACTATGGCTTATGGTCCAGACAACACTCTTGTTTTTCTGCATGCTAGAAAATGACATCTGTTATCTGTTTTAAATAATATCTGTTGTCTCTTTTAAATGACAAAAGTTTAGAGAACATTCTGACTTCTCCAATTATTGTCCAATCAGTCTTCTTTCTGTTATTGGCAAGGTCTTTGAGTCTTTGAATAACAAATTCCTCATATCCAATCTTGAGTGAAATATTTTAGTATCACACAATCAATGCGGTTTTCAATCCTCTTGCTCTACTGCTGACTTGCTAACTGTTGTGACTGAAAGATTTTAAATCTCAAGCTCTTGACATATCTCAAGCTTCTGACAAAGTTTGGAATTTTGGGCTTCTTCATAAGCTTGCTTCATATGGTGTATCTGGAAAGGTTTTTGAGATTATCAAATCATTTTTTTTAACCCCTTTATTAAAATCATCCTCAAAGGCCAACACTTTTCTATATTTCCAATAATTTCTGAGGCACCTCAAGGTTCTATCCTTGGTCCTGTCTTGTTTTATATCTACATTAATGATCTTCCCAACAATCTTACATCTAAAGTTGCTCTTTTTGCTGATGACTCAACTTTACACTCCTGTCTTGACAAAAAGTCTTATTTTTTCTATCGTTTTGAACAGGCAACCAATCTTGAATCTGATCTCACTTTTGTAATAGATTGGGGCTCACTGTCTTGTAAATTTTAACTCCAACAAAACTCAGTTATTTACTGCAAAGAATTATCCCAATGCGGTTGATATTACTATATTAATGAATGGCAACCCTCTTACCAAGTCCTCTTCTTTACGTCTTCTTTACTTCATCTGCCAAATTTGAGCCTCTTTCCCATTATGATAAAGTTGCATCTCTTTTTCTTTTCTACAATTACTATCTTGGTCACTGTTTAAAGGAGCTATTATTTCTAAATCCATCAATTAAAACTCATTCTCATTTGATTCGTCATTCAGCTCATTCTAGTCTCATCTGTTTACTGTATCTATCCCTGCATGCTCTAAAAACTTTTATTTATCTAGTTTTTTTCCCCTCACTTCAACCCTTTGTAACTCTTTCTAATCTTTATATTTTCTTGACTCATACAACCCAGGGCTTTGGAGCAGCTCCGGAGCTGGAGAAGGAGCTATCCGGAGCTGGTAATTTTACATGAAGCTGAGCCAGAGCTGGAGCTAAAATATTTCCTGCCGGAGCTGGCTCTGGAGCCAGCTCCACTCTTTTGATATTTTGAAATATCAAATTTCCATAAAGTTATTATTTTATATAATGAGATTTTTTTAAAGATTTTTAACAATTACTCTCATTAAAATATTTACAATTTCTAAATAATGCATTTTTTCATATGGATTGTAAAAAAAACAATAAGGATTTTTTTTTTCAGAATTTAACTTTTATCCAATTACTTTGTGCAATATGTCATGTGGTTCTTATTGTAGAGTACCCTCCACCTCCCTAAAAGTTCCTACTTTTAACCTACCTTCTCAACATATAATGATTTTTTTTTAATTTAGTGTCTCCTTACTTTTATAATTGACGTCTCTCCCCAATTCGAGCGTACTTTATGTACAATCCTTTATGTACATTCTTTATGGACGATCCTCAATAAAAAAATACTTTATCTATGTGTTTAGTCACATGATTTGTTTTAACATTTTTCATTTTTAGTTGAAACATTTTAAAAATGGATTTAAACATGTGAGTTACAAATAAAAAGGAAAAAAATTTTAACGTTTTTTTTTTATATATTCTTGATATTATTTTTGTTTAGACTATCTTTTATATCATTTCTCTTATCATCAACATTTGTCATTTACTTTTTTTTATAGATTTTTATAAAAACAGTTTCAAACTCAAACAATTCTGAGAGGTTTCTATATAAGTATTTTTCAATTGATAAAAGTACAGAACTGGTTACATGTAACCAGTTTTGATTACAGTAACCAGTTTTGTACTTTTTGAAAAGTTAAATGATAAAATGATTTTATGCGCCATGCAAATAAAAAAAGAAAAAGTTTACAATATAAAACAGCATTTGGAAAAAATTACATCTATCAGAAAATTAAATTGTTGAATCTGAAATGAGCCTTATGGGGCAAAAAAAATCTTTAAAATCATTTTATCATGTTCACATGATTTCAATACTAAAAAAACTAAACTGATTACTTTAGATTCTTTTGTTTTCACTAGTATTTGAGTTAGTTAGTGCTAAAACTTTTAAAATTGGAATTATTAAAATGGTAGCGAATAACGGAGTTTTGTTCAAAACATTTTTGGATGAATGATTTCAGTTAGTTACAGGCCAATTAGGTAAAACTCTTGGATTCAGTACTGGGCACAATTCTGTACACAATTTGAATAATGAATTTGCTGAAAAAAAGAAAGCTGAAATAATGGAAGTATTGTTACAGAAATTTATTTATGTGAAAATAGATGCAGCCACTCGACACCAAAATAACTATTTTTAAATAAATATTCAATATTAATATGCAAAAAAAAAATTAAAAATTTTGGTACTAATAGATTGAAAACTTTAACACAAGGACAGCACAACCCTGTTGCCATCAAAAAAATGGTGGAGGATACTCTATATAGATTTGTTATCAGCAATGATCAAATAGTATGTGTAATTGTAGATAGTGCAGCCAATATGATTAGACCAATCACAATTTTAAACAAATATTCAGGTGATGAAAATTTTTGAGATTAAGTTTTGCATGATTAAGAACAAGTGGAATTTTTACAACAATATACAGATGAAGAAGAAAGAAAGGAGCTCGAAAAGAAAATCTAGCATTTATCAACCCAGAATGGTGTCAACCATTGTCTACTGACATTAGGCTGATGCGCTGTGTTACTCACACTTTGCAGCTAGCAATTCGTATGATTTAAAAAAAGCATACAATGCCCAACTTTTGGCAAAAGTCCGTTTTGTTGTAAAGAAACTAAGAAACTCACACAATATTTTAAACAAAGAAGAAATACAAGGTTATTTCAATTTTGGATAATGAGACACGCTGGGTTCTACATTCCAAATAGTTGAAAAATTGTTACTTTCGCGTCCACTGTCTTAGCAATTTGCTGCAGTTGATCAGATATTCTTTTTACGCCCTAGAATATGAGATAACAGAGTGTCTGCAAGATCAGGAAAATCAGGGAAAACAGGGAAAAGTTAGGGAATTCAGATATTTGCAAAAAAATCAGGGGATTATCAGGGAAATTAGGTTAAATTTAAAAAAAATCAGGGAGAAATCAGGGAAAATGGCTCTTTATCAAAATTACATAACTTAAATAAGTTGTATATTGAATACGTAATATAAAAGTTTATTTGGAAGATAGTTTTATGAACTTCTCTTGATACATTTAATGGGGGTTGTGTTATTGTTTATATTTTTCAGTTGAAGAGCATTTTTCTAAACGAATCAATGTCAATTTTTGTGAAGTTGAGTTTGGGTAACTTTAAATTAAATCAGGGAAAACAGGTAGAAAATCAGGGAAATATTAGGGAAAAGTCAGGGAAATCTACCTTAAAACATTGTCAGACACCCTGGATAAATCTAGCCATTTTTGCGATTTTTCAAAAAAGCCACATGATGTTACAGTTAATCGACATTACTCCAGGAGGGTTCCTAAAGAAATGGTTGAAATTAAAATCTGACTTTGAGAAGAGTCAAGGATTATTTATTTCAAAATCTATGCAGAAAAGAGATGCCAAGAATATAATGGAAAGTCAAGAAATAAGAAATACTGCTATGCTATCTACAGAACTTCTTTCAGTTTTAAGTGAATCTAATTCTGATGGAGAAGAGAATGAGTTTGAAAAGGAGCTTGATAAAAAATAAAAATAGAGAAGTGTGACCCAAATTAATTTTGGTCAAACTTCTTTTTTTAATTTTTTTGATAAAAATACTTTTTATACAAATATTTTGGATGACTATAGGATAATGGAAGATATGGGGTATTCCAAAGTAAATTCAGCTTTTGAGGGAATTAAAAAATACCGAAAAGGAATACAAGAAGCGTGCGAAGTAGTCACTTGTATACCTATCTCACAAGCAAGTGCAGAGAGGCTATTTTCTGCTCTTAAGTTTGTATTGAGCAATCTGCGTTCTTCACTCAAACTTGATGTTTTAGACTTTATTTTTATGGATGAATCAAGATTTTTATTAACAAAATGATAATAGTACTTCAATTACTGTCATAAAACATTTTGATATGTTTTTTTTGCGGAGTCACTCCGGAGCTGGAGCCAAAAGTTCTAATGGAGCTGGAACCTGGAGCTGGAGCCAATTTTTAGACCTCGGCTCCAAAGCTCTGGTTATATATCTGTTGGTAGGTAATGAACTACCCCAATGTTTAGGTTATTTTTATTTTTTTATTTTATTAGTATATTTACGATTTGATGCTTTATTGATTTAATTTTTCAGTAAAATTAATAACTTATTTAAAATAAAAATCTTTATTGAACTTTTTAAAAATCTCTAAAACTTTTTAAATTGTTACTCCTTTGAAAAAATAATAAAATTCAAAAGTTAAAACCAAGAGAAAAACAAACTAAAAGTTTTAATTTAAAAGTCATTCTTAATTCCTGCATTCTTTTTATTTCCCAGGATTTAGTAAGATAATAAAATTTTATTAATTAGCTGACAAATTATTGAAAATGATGACATTTATTTCTTTTCAATTTCTCAATCACACTCTCCCTCTCTTTCTCTCCCCCCCCCCCCTCCTTAAAAAAAATACAATAAAAAATAAAACAAACAAATTTTCATCTCAATATGTCATCATAGTTACTGTGATCACTATGAGATAACAGTTGGAAGTCATGGTTTTATTTTTATTTTTTAAAGTTATTATTCAAACACATTTAGTTGATAATAAGTATTTGTTCACGGTGATAAATTAAAACAACAAATAAATATTTTTTAACTAAATTGAAAAATTTTAATAGTAATTTAAAAAAATACCAATAATATTATAAAGTAAAAATTACTTTATAATATTAATTTCATTTATTTTTTGTTTTTTATTTTGTAATTGCCTTTTGCTATGTTATATTATCTACTGTCATTTTAGCATCTTAAAACCTAGCTAGAGCTAAATATAATTTAGGTAGGGCTCAATATAATTAGTAGTAATTAAAAGAAAAGGAAGGTTGCATATGAGGGCACCCTCAGTCAGAGATTGTATTATGTTGATTGTATTTGCTTTAAAAGATATAAATATACTTATATATTTTCTTTAGAATTGCATATGCGTCATCGATCAGACAATCCAGAAGAATACAATAGCAATGTTTCAAATATTGCTGAATCTGTATTAAAAGTTATTCGTGGTGTAGGGGAGGATCCAAATCGTGAAGGACTATTAAAAACACCAGAGAGATTTGCAAAAGCAATGCTGTTTTTTACCAAAGGATACACTGAAAACCTTCAGGGTTTGTCAAATTTTATTATTATAAAATAAAAGATTATTGTAGAAATAATTATTTCTTCAATAATCTTTTACTTTATGATTATATATATACATATATATATATATATATATATATATATATATATATATATATATATATATATATATATATATATATATATATATATATATATGTATATATATGTATGTATATATATATATATATATATATATATATATATATATATATATATATATATATATATATATATATATATATATATATATGTATGTATGTATGTATATATATATATATATATATATATATATATATATATTTATATATATATATATATATATATATATATATACATATATATATATATATATATGCATACATTTCCTGGGGATTTTTTTCTCAAGGGGATTTTTCCAGAGGGATTTTTTCCTAGAACTTTTGCATCAAAAAATTATGAGAAATAAATTCAAAGATATAAAGTATAGAAAAACAAAGTGGAAAACAAATTATAGTTAAAGTATAAATGTTCTTAGTTAGATACAACAATTATTATATATTACTATTAAAATGGTTATTATGCGGTCGTGGTGTAGTGGTAGAGCACTCGCTTCATAAACGAGTGGTTCCGAGTTCGATTCCCACCACGTCCCTGGTAGTACTGCGCTTAACTTGTTTCTCCGTGTAGCGGCCTTGTTTGTCAAGGTTCGTGTTTCAGAGTTATAGAGTTGAGAGAGGGTTGTTACCACAAATAAGTAGCCTCCTTGTCTGTAGTGGCCTTCTCGGCCTTTAGGAGGTGAATTAAAAAATATATATATATTTTTATTAAAATAATAATAAAAAAAGAACTTCAATGGTTTATAAAAAAATAGATTTTTACCACGATAAAAATGAAAGTAATCTATATTCCTATACAAAGTAATAATATTCCTCAAGCATTTTCAAAACATAAATGATTTTATGGAATTTTAGTATATGCATTTTCAAAATTACATCCTGATTTTTTGACAAACCTTTCAAAACTCTGATTTTTTTCAATTGGTCAACCATGATTGGCAAAAATTTATTTCAGTAGGTCAAAATAGCAATTTTAGTCATTTCAGGCGGTCGTTAGCCAGCCCTTATTTCCACACTGTATATATAACCATGTGCCATAAAATTTGAGACTAGCTTTAATTAGCAATAACTAAATAAATAATTATTTATTTATAAGTTATATAAAATAATTAGTATCAAATTTTTTTCCTCTTTTAAGCTGAAAGTGGAAGAAGGCCTACTTAATACACTAAACAACTGCATCAAATTAAGGAGAATATTTAACCATCAACGTGGTGTGTCACTTTCAAAGGCTTGGTTGTAGCAAAAGTACCATTAGGTAAATCTCAAAACGCTTTAAAAATTTATTCTTTGTTATAAAAAAAAAAAGACCAGGCGGAATTCCTGAACAGGCTTTGTGGTCGCTAAAAAAGTAGTCAATTTTATTCAAAATATTGTGACAACAAATTTATTATTGATGATGATTCTTATTTTACTTTGTTGAATAGCACGCTGACTGGTAATAATATATGCTATTCAAATGATCAAAATATGACACCAGACATTGTTAAGTATTATGATGTATCAAAATTTGAAAAAAAATTACTTGTGTGGAAGGCAATCTTTCCGCGAGTGGTCACATTTTATCACAATTTAAAATGTTCCTTCAGGTTAAGCGATAAACTAAGAGTTAAAAAGAGTGTTTACAAAAGTGCTTGCAACCTTTTATTAATAAACTTTATTAAGACACCAAGTACATCTTTTGGCTTAATTTGACAACATCTCACTATGGTAATTTGGTCACAAATCGACTGAAAGCCCAGATGATACCATTTTTCAAATAGAAAGAAAATCCAGAAAACTTGCCAGATGCTCCTGCTCTAGAAGATTTTTGGGCAATGGTTAAGCGTGATGTGTAACATGGATGGATAACCTACAAATGATATATTAAGCCTCGAGCATTGGACTTGTTATTGTATCAGTAAACTTGACCAGACTTTGCCAAATTCGAAGATATGAAGTTTTGTGATAAAAAAATTTATTTTTTTATTCTGTATATTTTATTCTATATACATACCAAAAATCTTTTTTTTAATTATGGTACAGGTGTGTGTGTGTGTATATATATATATATATATATATATATATATATATATATATATATATATATATATATATATATATATATATATATATATATATATATATATGTATATGTATATATATATATATACGTATATATATATATATATATATATATATATATATATATATATATATATATATATATATATATATATATATATATATATATATATATATATATATGTATATATATATATATATATATATATATATATATATATATATATATATATATATATATATATATATATATATATAATAACATGTTATTGAGGTCAAAAGAGAGGTTTTTACATATCTGCAATGTCATTGATATATAAAATAAATAGAAGAGGTCTTCCCATTATTTATGAGATCTGATCGACAGGCTCTAATAAATTGATAATACATGATTTATTTGGAATAAATCCATGCTGATTTTGAGACAAAAGATTATTAGCAGATTATTAGCATATTCTCAGTTAAACAATCTTTTACAATACACTGTAGGAGTTTGCAATAGGCACATTCAGAAATAAACAATATTTGTTGAGTACGTGTGGGTGAATACTGTCTATGCCTTCTGGTTTATGTATGTTAAGTTTTAAGAGTAGTGATTATATGTAGTTCTCATTAAGTTTATTTAAGACTGTTTTCTCATCAATCCCAGAAAATGTATGTTTCTTGAATGCTGGCAACGATTGACTTAAACCTAAAGAAATGAAAACAGTTGAAAAGAAATTGTTAAGAATCTATATTGCTCTGATCAGTTGTACTGTTGCCATTTTATTCATGTTTATATATCAATTGATAAGTTTTGGATTTGTCTTCGCTTTTTCTGATAAAGATTTTTCATATTAAGTAATAGAATAAACAAAAGTTTTACTTTTACTTTTTACTTTTTTGCAGCAGTCATTGTATTTTTTAGTGCTAGTTGTGCTCTTTGCTTTTTTAATAAAGAGATTACTTCATTTGAGATTCAAGGTTTGTGCAAAATAGAAAAATGCGATTTAGTTTCAAAAATTGAAGATTACATCCCTCAATAAAGATAGAATGTAATGTTTCATAACATTATTCAATTTTTAAATTTATTTGAAGCATTTTTAGTTTTTAGTTAGATACCGTTTTTAAAATCTTATCTAGATGAAGAAAACAGATTTCTAGTAGGGTTTGAAGATTCTACAGCCTAATTCTAGGTTAGAATTAAATAAGCTCATCCTTTTTTGGTGCAGCCAAGTTGAGATTATCTTTCAAGAGAAAATATGTGTTAAAAAATTTCAGTTTTTTTTTTTTTAAATTCTAGCTCACTCCCAATAAGGCTTCAAGTAACCACCATTAAGTTGGGAGTTACTAGAAAACAAAGAATAGAGTAAAAGAGCAAGGAAATGGTTGACAGAAGACTTGAAAAGTTGTAGGTTGTATGAGTCAGGTTAATATGAGTTAGTAGAGATTTCCAAAGGGTTGAAGTGCAGGGAAAAAGCTAGACAAGTAAAAGTTTTTATAGCATGCAAGGATAGATACAGTAAAAAGATGAGACTTTGCTGAATAGCGAGTCAAGCAAAAAAGAGTTTTGATTGATGGAACTAGAGATGATAGCTTCCTTCAGCAGCAATCATGATAGTCTTTGTAGAAAAGAGAAAGAGATGCAACTTTACATTGATGGGAGAGAGGCTGAAGCTTACCAGATAAAGCAGGTCTCAGTCAAAAATTTTCCAAGATATACCATATAAAGTTTACTTATGGAGAAGAATAGCATTCCTAACTTTATTGAAAGCTTTAGATATGTCAAGAGCAATAGCCCTTGCCTTGCTGCCTCTATCTAATGCACAATAGAATCTTTCAGTCACAGCAATTAGCAAGTCAGCTGTAGAGCAAGAAGATCGAAAACCGTATTGATTATCTGATAGTAAATTATTTGACTATGTAAGAAAATTGTTGATTAAAGCCTAAATAAACCCTACAAGGTTGCTGGGCATGGGGCAGGTAGTAGTAGGTTACATAGTAATAGCAACAAGGTGCATCATAGCAGGGTAATCATGATAATCCAGACCTGACCTTTAGTAGTTAATAGAAGTTAATTCCTATTAACAGTACTTTAAAATATTGATGGGAATAATTTGGAAATGCATTAGGAAAAACATTACATCTAACAGAATACTAAAGATTAAGGTGAGTATAGGTTTTATAGTTAGAGTTGCTAGTTGGTTACTGAACTCACACTGCATTTGAGATTTAAGCAGAATACAAACATACATAAAAAGTAACTTATGGATGAGCAAACACGGCGCCAGAAGTTCAGTCTAAACACAAACATACATATAGTAACTTAGGGGTGAGCAAACACCACGTCAGAGGTTCAGACAGAATACAAATGTATATAAAGTAACTAACAGGTGAATTTAAATCGCTTCAGCGATTCAGACAGAGCACAAACATTTTATTAAAAAATGACAAAATTGATAAAAAAAATGAATTGAGTCAAATAAAGAAAAGCCAAATAATGTTTTTATTTGAAAATGTTGGACTGAAATAGAAGAAAATTGCAGAAAAATTGCTGAATTTTTTTTTAAAAAAAAATTTTTTTCAGAAAAATTCAGTTTTTCTGCAAACATTCAACATACTAAGACTTGACCATAAGATACTAAATATAGCTTAAAAGAAACTCCAGTAAGAAGTTGTGATAGAATTAGCTGATAATGGTATACTTTTCAGCTGTCAGACTGTGAACAACCACCTTTTAAAAATTAAATTGAAGGTGTATCAATCAAGAGAAAAATCCAGGTTGACTAATCGAACTTAGGCACAGTGATATGAAAGGCAGATAATAGGGAGCATGAAACCTGGGT